TGATGGCGGTGATACTGATGATGGTGGTGATGGACACAACTGCATTCAGCAGTTTACTTCCTGTGGCCAAATGCCTGAGCTTTGTGGAATAACTGCCTTGTTCCAGCAGGTGCTGTGCTTATCTATTCCTCAGCGCAAGCCCATAATGCAGACACAATCATCCCCATTTTACAAATGAGGACGCTGAGGTGTGGAGACATGAGTGACCCTTTCTGAGGCCCTTCCTTGGGAAGAGGCAGAGGTGGGACTCGGACCCAGGCTGGGGGCTCTGGTGCCCTCAGTACATGTCTAGGCCGATCCTTTCCTATCAAGCTCTCCTGGAGCCATGATGTGCCTGCGCAGGGTGGACATTGGCCACTAAGGAGGCCATCCCTGGTCACGCTGTCATCCCCATCAGTCAGGTGGAGAGAAATCACCCATCTATGGCTGCAGAGCCAAGGGTTTTCTGCTGGGTTTCCAGAAGTAGGCAGGGAAGGGCTATGAATGGGGCTCAGAGGGGCTCCTGGCCTGCAGCTTCCTGAATGTTTACGGGGAATGCAGACAGCTGTGGAGTTGGCAGGCAGGAGTGGATGGCTCCTTTCTCACCAGATGCCCCCCAGATGGCTGTGCATGCTAGGCCTCTGGGGACAGGGACTTTGGGCCTTGGGAGAAGATGCTCCCACCCTCATCTACCAGCTCAGCCCGGCATGGATTTTACACAGGCATCGCCGTGCTCTGCAGATCCTGGGCCAGTGAAGATGGCAGAGCACTAGGCTGGGGGTTCAGGGCCGGGGTCCCACTGGCAGCACTGCTGGCTTGCTGGGTGACAAGCTAAGTCAGGTCCTATGTTCTGCTTCCTCATCAGTCACAGGGGCCACATGTGCCCAAGTCACAGCCACATATGGGAGAGCACTTTGAAGGGAATAAGGCAGCAAGCAAATAGGAAAGAGGCTTCGTCTCCCCCATTATTAGAGACACAAGAAAATAAGCAACAAGGAAGCTGCATGCTCACTCACTGGGTAGGAAAACACGAGAACAGCGTTGATGAAGCTGAGGAGCACGCACTTGGGCACCGTGGGACTGGAGGTCAGGGGCAGCTGTTTCGGACAGCAGCTTAACAGCACTTACAGTTTAAAATCAGGTGCCTTCTGACCCAGATATTCCTCTGCTAAGACTTTCTCTGGATGTACTTGCAGAAGTACTTAAAGATGTATGTACAAAGCTATTCATTAGTTAGGAAGGGCTGCACCCAGAAAAATGGAGAACAATTTCAATATCCATCCATAGGGCACTGGATCAAATCAAGGATGTGCAACTACTCCAAGGAATATGGTAGCTCTTTATTTGCTGGCAGAGAAAGAATTCCCATAGACAGCAAAGCAAAAAAAGTAAGAAAAAGATGCTGTTTATGTGTGCATGAATGTGTGTGTCTGCTTGAATGAGCATATAGCATTTCTGGAATACACAACTAAATTAACAGAGGAGCCTGGTTAATTTTGCTTTAACCATGAGCCCATGGGAGGTAATTAAATTTTATATGAATTCTCAGGTGAAAAATGTGTACCCACTGCTTCCCTGATCTGTATGGGGTGTGGCGGACTCACCTTTCCAACCACTTCCACTGGAGAAAGCGGTCAAAATACATGCTGTCCAGATACTCGTGGAATGGTTCTCCCCTCAGGTAGTCGTGGACAGATCTAGCTCAGATGGAAAAGAGGATGAACATTTCACAATCACGATCTTCCAGCACGGGGGCAAGGCTGTATCCAGCTTTGGAAATACAAGCAAACAGGGCCTCTCAACCCATGCAGATGCAGCACGTCTGGCCAGAGGCCCTGCCATTCTTCTGAGGGTTGTGTGAGATTGGTTGGTCCTGCCAACAGTTGTTGGGTACCTGCCATGTGTTGGGTACTGTTCTAGGCTCTGGGATACAGCTGGGAGCATGGGGTTGGCATTGTATGTGGGACTCAAACAGTGAATAGCAAACATGAAATAAACGATCCCAGAGCTATGTCATTATGAATGAGTTCAGCGCCACGAGGGTCAAGGGGTTTCTCTGAAGAAGTGACCTTGAGCTGAGAACAGATGAAGACTTCATGAGGTGCAGGGAGGGGCTGGGAGTCAGAGGTGGGGGCACAGTCCCTCAGAACCGCAGCTCTGGATCTGGTCTTGGACCAGCAAAGCCACCACTGGGAGTTTTTCATGCATGCGGCGGAACTGACTGGTCCCCTGCTGTGGGCCCTGGGATGTTGTGGTTCTATGGATCTTAGGCCATCAGGGCAGTGTCTAGCAGGGTTCCGAAACTGACTCAGGCAGAGATGAGCTTCTTCCCTTTAGAAGGTGGCTGTGCCAAGTAATCTAGCCCAGCCACTTTGGACCTGGGGAAGGGAGGGGACTACGGCAGGTGCAGCACATCAGAAGCTGTGTCCTGCCAAACCTGAAAGCCACTGCTGGGGGCCAAGACAACCATTCCCTCAGAGTCAGGATCACCGACCAAGACCCCACCCACTGTCAGACCTGACTCCTGGGCAGCTCCAAGAGAGCAGCAACCTCGCTTGCTCTGCCCACCAGGGCCTCTCCCCACCACCTAACCCAGGGCTGGGTCCCAGGACGGCCCTCTCAGCTCCCCTCCAAGTGTATGCAAGGTTGCAGTTTTTCTTGTACAAACTCCATGAAAGCCAGGATTGAGTTCTTGTTCACCTTTGTATTCCCCAGGACCCAGCACAGAGCCAGGTACACAGCAGGTACTCAGTTGGTGTCTGTGGTGCTGAATAAGGGCACGCAAAAAGTCCCCAGGCTCATCCAGCTATGTGGGGTAACGTGGTTTGGGAGAGCTTTTGTGTGTGTGCATGTGTGTATGTGTGCGCACGCAAGTGCACACTTGCATGTGTCAGCAAGTGTGTGCATGTGTGTGTGTGTGTGCTCATGCCTTCAGGGTGTGCATGTGCAGGATGGGGTGGGGGTTTCGTTGGTGCTTTGCTGGCAGCATGCCCATCGATTTGTCTCACCCCCTATGGGGCGGACATGCCACCTGCAGACAAGGTAACAGGGTTTGGCTGAGATGCCCTCCTGCATCGGTAGCACTGGTTCTGGTTGGTGGTGGGGGTGGGGGGTGGGGACCCTGAGAAAGATTTCCCAACCACCCAGACAGGGTCAAATGTTTGCACATTCCTCTGTCTCAACAGCCTGGAGAGCCACTTGCTTTCAACACCCTTTGCAGCAGATGTTTTCTTTGGACTTGGCACCTCGTATCTTTTCCTCTTCGTGGGAAGTATACAAACAGTTGGTATAACTTGGCTGATGCCGTCAGACACTGAAGACCTGCCTCAGTGCCCTGTATGGTCAGGTGGAGAGCTGGGGCAGCCCCTCTCTGGGCAGCCCAGGGAGGACAGGCCAGGTGGCTGGGGCACTTACTGTGCACAGGCAGAAAAGAGTTCTTTGCATGGCTTCTGCAGGAGCTTCTCCTCCGTCTGGGAGACCAGGTCTCGGCCAACTTGGGCTATGAAAACAGAGGACTGGAAGGAGGAAGGGGAGGGAGGTGGTCAGTGAGGGGCCAGCAGCAGTGTGGCTGGGTGTGCCCACAGGTGTTGGGCGAAGAACCAGCCAGGCTCCAGAAGCTGATGCACCTGGCAGCCCATCTCTGCCCCAGCGAGTGACCAGCTGCCTCCTCCAGCCTGTACCTGGCTCTGGGCTACCTGGACACTGGTGGTTTGGGGAGGTGGCTGAGCTGGAAGGCAGCGAATGAGCCCAGGTTCAGGGTGAAACTCCTGGCTGTGCCACTTACCGGCTGTGTGACCTCATGGAGGTCATTTGGCTTCTCTGAGCCTCATTCCTCATCTGCATAACACTGATAATGATAGTCCCCATGGCCTGGGCATGTAGTCAGAGCTGACAAGGTGTGCAAATGCTCCCAACTGTAAGGGGCTGTGCAGTGTGACCCAGCCCATCAGTGAGCCCCTAGCAGGCTTGGTGGTGTCCCTTGACCATGCTGGGCCTCTTTCCTCCAAAGGTGAGAGAAGAGGAACACCTGCCCAGCCTTGAGGTTCATGTGTGAAAGGGTTTGGATCGGGCCATGGTGGACAGGAAGGCTCAGGAAGGGGGCGAGGAGGGGAGGGGTAAAGATGGGAGGGGAACCATAGCCCTGGAGCTGCAGGCCTGGGTTTGAATCCCAGATCTGTGACTCACAGCTGTGGCCTTGGTCTTAACTGCTCAGCCTCTCTCTTGTCAGGAAGACGATAGGGAATAGAAGTTTTTCTCGGAACAAATCAATAAAAACTTCAGGTAAGGCATTTGGCCCAGATCCAGCAGTAGTAGCAAGCATGAAATAAATGTCACCGCTGTCATTTCTTTCTCTCTCTAGGTTAAGCTGCTGGCCTGGCTATTTCAAGTTTGAAAGGACATTTCCAAGAGTTTCTGCGTCTGGCCCAGGAGTGGTGGCCGCATCTGGAAGGCAGCTCCACCCTGGGCAGGCCTCACCCACCCCGTCCCCTCCTCCCACCATTCACTCTCTGCCAGCTGTTCCCTGGGGCTGACTCACCAGCTGGGCTTTGAGATGGGTTTTTAATAAATTACAGGGATAATTGAGAAAATTGCTGGGAGTGGGCTCAGAAAGATGGGGTGTGGACACAGCTCTCTCCCAAAGGGATGCTGAAATCTGAAAGCCTTGCTTTATCTTCCCAGCTATTGAAATGTACCCATGGGGCTGATTTGCTAAGTTCACTGGATGGTTTCTTAGGGGAGGGGGGTCAATCCCCAGGGGTGGAGGGGACGCCCGAGGCAGCAGCTGGCCTGTCCTTGGTGAATGAAATCAGTGGCTTGTTTTCTGTTCCCCACGGGTTCTGAATGTCCAAATCCCTTCCTTCCTTATTTCTTTTCTAGGCCCAGCCCTCCCTGCAGGCTCCCCGCTGACCTCAGGGTCTCCCCGAACCAGGCCTGAGAGGCTTCAGCTTCTTGGGGGGCAGCCTGCGGCATGGTGCAAGCTGCTGTGACAGTGAACACCACTCACCCAAGTGCAGGCCAAGCCATTCCCACCAAACAGCAGGCTCAGGGCACATCATCTACCAGCTCCCATCAGCAGCCTGGGTAGTGGCTGCTCTCCCCCAACTGCCTTCCCACTCTGTCCCAGGAGACACAGAAGAGTAACCCACAGAGCACTGGTCACAACTTTTGCAGAAAAGATACCTGATGTCATGGGAGGAGCCCCAGGCCAAGAGCCAGGAGCCTGAGCCCTGGCCTGGCCTCTGACCTTGGCCATTCTGTGCCTCTGTCTCACCCTCTGAAACAGGATGAAGCTGCTCCAGAGATGCCTGAAGGGTCCTGTGAGATTTGGGAACCGATCACTGGGGGCTTGTGCTTCTAAGTCTTGGGAACTTTCTTGGGACTTCTGGCAGCTGAGTCTCTTGGGAATCAATACCTCCAGGCTACTTCAGAGCAACTGAATATCAGAACAAATCCCGAGGCCCTGGGCAAATCTGCTTCAGGAAGGGGAGAGCTGATGGTTCGGCACCCTTAGTCTGGGAGGGCCCAAGGCCTGGCACACAGCTGGTGCTCTCTGTCTGTTAATGAGCAAGACGATATAATCCTGGTGTTCCAGGATATGACCTTGAGCCTGGTACGAGTCAGCAAGGACCAGATAGAGATGCCAGCAGGGTGGGCCACGGGGAGAAACAGAACAGTCGGAAGGGGGACCTGAGTTGCCCATCGTGTGCACTCTGTAGGGTTCTGCCTTTGTTTCTGCCTAGGGAGAACCTATCTTACCTGCCACAGCCACAGCCTGGTGCTGGCAGGGGTAGAATTAAAAGATGAAGATGTAGCCAGGTGGGACTCAGTGGCTCATGCCTGTAATCCCAGCACTTTGGGAGGCCAAGGCAGGAGGACTGCTTGAGGCCAAGAGTTTGAGGCCAGCCGGCAACATGGCGAGACCCTATCTCTACCAAAAAAAAAAAAAAAAAAAAAAAGCCTGGCGCGGTGGCTCAAGCCTGTAATCCCAGCACTTTGGGAGGCCGAGGCGGGTGGATCACGAAGTCAAAAGATCGAGACCATCCTGGTCAACACGGTGAAACCCCGTCTCTACTAAAAATGCAAAAAATTAGCTGGGCCTGGTGGCACGTGCCTGTAATCCCAGCTACTCAGGAGGCTGAGGCAGGAGAATTGCCTGAACCCAGGAGGCAGAGGTTGCGGTGAGCCGAGATCGCGCCATTGCACTCCAGCCTGGGTAACAAGAGCAAAACTCCATCCCAAAAAAAAAAAAAAAGCCAAGCATGGTGGCATGCCTGTAGTCTCAGCTACTTGAGTGGCTGAGGTGGGAGGATTCCTTGAGCCCAAGAGATCGAGGCTGCAGTGAGTCGTGATCATACCACTGCACTCCAGCCTGGGCAACAGGGTGAGACCCCTTCTCGAAAAAAAAAAAAAAAAAAAAAAATTGGAGTCAGTGTGGTTTTGACCTCAAAATACTTTTTCTCCACAAAGACAGAAATGATATACTATAAGGTAATAACATCCTACCAGAAAGTTCTTATGCCTCTCAGCTGTACTGCGTGTAGTGATATATGAAATGGGTTAGGTGAAATTCAGCGGCTTTCAAACCTTCTTTTTCTTTTTTTAAGCAGCAAACTTTCTCCTCCAAATGAAATTTATCCACAGACCCAATATTTAAAACATATAAAAATAATTTAATTGGTAACAATGGTTTACATATATTGAAGGCTAACTCTGGTCAGGGACTGTGCTAAAAACCTTGCTTCATGAATTCATTGAATCATACCCTGAGGTAGCTATTACTATAGTACCCATTTTGCAGATGAGGAAACAGAGGTTCAGAAAGGTCAAGCAGTTTTATCAGGGTCATCCAGCCAATAAGTGCCTGAAAGGGGATTTGAACCTAGTTTGGGTACCTACTGAGTGAGATCTGGCCGGAGTGGGCTCTCTGGGCCACCTGTGCCCCCTCTCACATTATCCCCTCAGGACCCGTGATGTCTGACTCTAGCCCCTGGTGTTCTACAGAGCCCAGCGTGAGGACCGGGGTGCTGTTTGGTCCCACAGCAGAGGCAAGTGATGCAGCTTCCGACAATGAGCCCAGCGGTTCAGAGAAGGGAGAGGTCATTGCAGGCTGGGGCTATCTGGGAAAGGCTTTAGGGAAGACAGAGTAAGGGGCAAAGCAGAATTTGACCCTCCTGCTTGTAGGCAGGGACAGCCAACTGGACTCCCTTCTCAGTAGATAGGAGAAGGGAATTGTCCAGGGTCTAGAGGTGACCCAACTGTGTATATGAAGTCACACCACTCTCATACCTTGGATTGGTTGGTGGGGGAGCTCTGCCCAAGGGCAAAAAGCCCTAACAAGGGAGTTAATGCGTGGGTAGTAACATTTGGCTTTATACCCACTAGCTCCACTGGAAGAGATTAAGCGATTCCAACCCAACCCCCTTTCAAGTGCCTCCAGGGAATGACACCTTTGGCAGTTAAGATGAGAAAAAGAAGCTGCTGCCCAGTGTGTCTTAAACTTAAGCCCAAACCTGCCAGGAGGGTAAGAAGTGAGCAATTGCAGTCAGACCTTTACTATTGGCATCAATGGAGCCAGAGGATGTCTGGTCCTTCCCCTCCAGTTCAGAGAAATCACTTACAAAGAGAGACCCTTTAAGAAGGCCCTCTGCTGGCTGCATGTCAGATCAGATATACCGGGTAAGAAACAAGGCCCCCAGAAGCTCAGAGGGCTCTGGGGTTGTGAGTAATCTCAGCTCAGCACCTGGGATCCAACCTCTGGGTCTTTGAAGGCAGGAGAACTCCATGCAGTTTCAGATATCTGTCTGGTGGGCCCGTAAGGTGAGCCGGGGAAGGCAGCGGGGCACCCTACATGCCAGGTGGGTTCTGGAGAGAAATGTCACTGTCACTCTACTGAGGACTCAGGAATGTCAGGAGAACTATGGCTTGGCAGCACTCTGGCTCTTCTAGCAGGGATTGTACCGCTGGGATGGAGCTGATGGTCAGGGGTACCATGCTCCCCCCGTCAAAGATGTCCCCTGAATTCAAACAATACAGAAATCCAAGAGTGAGGGCCTCAAGGTCTGTAGATACCTACAGAGGTGAAGGCAGCCAGGTTGGAAGGGGTCTTGGTGGTGCTCACTGGTAAAACTCCCCCAGGGGTCTGGGACCCCCTCAGGTCACCAGGTGGTCTCCTTAAACAGCTCTAGCTGCAGACCTTGACTTTAACACAACAGTGAATTCGGGCACCAAGGTTCCTTTGAAAGGTATCAAGTCAACTGGAAGAAGGAGCAGGGGAGAGTTTCTCTTTGAAGGTCCCACCATGAATGCCTGCCCTTTGTGGCCTTGCACAGCTGAAGCTACTCAGCTGGGCAGCCTCCACATGGGGAGTCGGCCTGGCCCTGCCAGAGTCCACTGTGATGACTCTGGAACCTTGAGGAGGGCTCTGTGACCATCTCACTGGGACAGCTGAAGACACCAAGATTTGCCCCGGGGACACAGCTGTGTAGCCTGGGGTGCTGGCCAGAGACCTCTCTCCCCTCTGGCTAGATGGGAAAGGACTTGGCTGCCTCGAGGATCTGTGGGCTGTAAGGACCCCACTGGCAATCATTCCCCAGCACTGAGCTCCCCACCCATTTCTTTGGTGAAGGACTCTCCCCTTTTGTTCCCCACTGAAGCTGGGGGTGGACAGAGGTGACCTTGAATAGGGGCACTTTGCCTGCTACGTGAGTCGGTGCCTCTGTATAAAAGCCCCCTTCACCTGGAGGTAAAAGAACCTGCTCCGCCTGCCTCTTGGGATGGGAACTTGACCTTGACTGCTCCTTCTGTACTGGAGGAACCTGGAGCCGCACCGGGCGGGGGGAGCCAAGGCTGCCTGCTGTTCCAGTGGGCAGACCAGACAGAGCTCATGCAGGCCCGTAACTGTCCTTGGGACCCCCAGCTACTCACTCCTTCTTACTACCTCTTCCCTATGGCCCAGACTTACTCTCTGCTCTCTGCCACTGGTTCTGGGGATCCAGGCAGTTCCTGATGTCTGTGATAACCAGAATGTACCTTTTCAGGCAGCAAGAGACGATGCTTGCCTGGGATGCTTTTCTGGGGACCACAGTGTACTGAGAAAAGCCCTTCCCACCACTTTGAGCATAAGTCGGGCCGACCCCCTGAAATGGATGAAGTAGGCCTAGGGTGGCTTCGCACCTTTACTCCCCTCTAAGCCCCTCCCCTCACTGTTGTCCTCATCTCATGCATCCTCCACTGCTGTGATGTAAACTCCAACATGCCATGTAGGTCACCCCTCTCATCTTCTGTTCCACTCGAACAGACGCCTCTGGGATATCCAGGCACGGTGTGGATGATGTATTGCTTACCAGTAATGACTCAATGCACTGGAGGCCTTGGACTTTTCAAAGACGAGACTGTTGGGGTTGCCATGTGGTTGGAGAGAAGAGCTAGGGGCTTCTCCTGAAGCTGTGTTTGTAGAGCAATGGGTTTAGAGTGGATGGGGTGACTTGCTGGCTAAGCCCTTGCCTCCAGCATCCCTTGGTATAGCAAATGCCCAGCGCCTCACCCCTCCCATGTCAGCTGCAGCAGAGAGAAATGTCTGGTTAAGCGCCATCTGTGTTTAATCTGAAGCAGGAATGATCTGGGGTATTTCAGGCATTGAGACAGGCTGGGAAGCAGGGTGCTGGTGCGGAAGACGGGGACCTGGCCTGGCCATGAAGCCACCCCAGTGGGCACCGCACTCAGCACTGGATCTGGGAAGCATGTGTGGATCATCCACCACACCCAAGGCTGATGCTCAAACATCCACCCTCAGTGGCTTTACAGAGGGAGGGACCCAAGCCCAAGGGCAGGTGACAGCCCAACCTCAGCTCTGCCTCTGCCGGTTCAGAGCAGGCAGTCCACAAGGTGGTGCCATTGCTTCCCTATGCTCCTTCACCCCACCGGCCGACCAGACTTCTGGTTCTCAAAGACTTGGGAGGCCAGATGGGCACACTTGGAATAATTACCAACTGATTATAATCTCAGACCAGAGGAGTTCGGCCTTTGCAATAACAATTGCGGTGGGGTGGGGGGAAGAGATCAATTTGGCCAGTTGCAGTGGCTTACGCCTGTAATCCCAACACTTTGGGAGGCCGAAGTGGGTGGATCACCTGAGCTCAGGAGTTTAAAACCAGTCTGGCCAACATGGTGAAACTCCGTCTCTACTAAAAATACAAAAATTAGCCAGGTGTGGTGGCTCACGCCTGTAGCCCCAGCTACTTGGGAGGCTGAGGCACAAGAATCGCTTGAACCCAGGAGGCGGAGGTTGCAGTGAGCCAAGATCACTGAGCCACTGCACTCCAGCCTGGGCAACAGAGTGAGACTTGGTTTCAAAAAAAAAAAAAAGAGAGACATCAATTTGAGAGGGAGCACTGAAGAGGTAAGATGGGTCTGGACCTTGAAGGAGAGAGAGGCTGGAGTGCAGGGACAGGCCTGGAGGCTGGAGTCAGCGCCGAACAGAAGAGAAGACACTGCTCGGAGTCAGTGCAGACCATGGGAAAGAAGGCCGACAGGCATGCTGCCATTGCGTGAGGCTGACTCTCTCCTGGGGCAGCCACCAGTGGCTGAGTCATCAGCCCTGAGGATGACGTTACTGTGGCGGCTGCACTTGCTCCCCCAGCACTGCTCTCCTGCCTCTGCACCGTGAATGACTGACATGAGGAAGGGACATCATTTCCTACATCACTGAGCAGCTCCAGATGTTTGAGACTCTGATTCCCAAAGCATCTCCATGCATTAATATCCCTTGTTTCAAGTGTCAGAGTGGAGATGGAATCAGTCATACTTGGCTGGTGTCCTTGGAGGCACCCAGGGAAGGAGGGTAACTGAAAGGCCATGAAATCAACTCAGAGCCACACCCGGAAGCCTCCCCAGGAGCCACCAATAATCCTCTGCCCCATGTCACGCTGGGAACTGTCTGGAAACACATGCCCGATACTTGTTGAGAGATTTAGGAGTGAGATGTGGCAGGAGGAACTGGAGATCAGAGGGTTCTCCAGGAAAGACCCCTCTGGTTTAGCCCTTCAACCCACTCATGGCACAGGTGGGGAAACTGAGAGAAGGGGCCCCCTCCAAGTCACTTGTTGGCCCATGGCAGAGCCAGGATTGGCACCTCTGACTGGGAGGCATGGATCTAAGTGGTACAAGCCCTTAACCAGGTGTCCTGAGCCAGCCCTCCGAGGACATGCCTTTGCCCTCCTCAGCCCCAGTCAAAACCAGCTTGTCCCCATTTCACAGTTGGGAACACTCACATCCAGCAATCTCAGTCCTGGCATCTCTGCCACCCACTGCCTCCTCTCCATCCCCAGCTGGCTTCCCTGGTTTGCAGAATTCTCTTCTCTTGCTTGGACTATTCAGGAGGCCCTCATGGGTCTCCGCCAGACACCCTGCCTGACCTGCTTCCCCTTTCTGTCCCCTGCTTTCCAGTGCTGTGGCACCACACTGGCTGTTTCCTGGGTGAGCTCCAGCTTTCTGGCCACTGGACCTTTGCTTGGTCCCTTCATTCCTTCCCACCCCTTCACGGCATGTCCAAACTGCACCGTCTTCAGGACCTGCTTCTGATGTGAGATGATTCTCCCAGCAGGCAGGACCTTCCCTCTAGCCCCAGCTACCGGAGACAGCTGCTGCCATCATTACCATCATCTGTGCCATCACTGCCATTTCTTTTCTTTTTTTGAGACAGGGTCTCACTCTGTCACCCAGGCTGGAGTGCAGTGGCACAATCTTGGCTCACTGCAACCTCTGCCTCCCAGGTTCAAGTGATTCTTGTGCCTTAGCCTTCTGAGTAGCTGGGATTACAGGCATGCGCCATCACACCTGGCTAATTTTTGTATTTTTGGTAGAGATGGGGTTTTATCATGTTGGCCAGGCTGGTCTAGAATGCCTGGTCTCAAGTGATTCACCTGCCTCAGCTGCTGGGATTACAGGAGGGTGTCACCACGCCCAGCCATCACTACCTTTTCTTGAGCACCCACTTACGATATGCCAGGTCCTAGGAGCTTTATGTGGGGTACCTTGTTTAATCTTCTTGAGGTAGGTTTTATTATTCTTACTATCCCCATTTTACACATAGTTGGCCTGGGAGCAAAGACAGGATTCAAACCTGGGAATCTGGCCAGAGGACCTTCTCCCTGAGCACCACCATGTACTCCAAGGGTACCACATTGCTTCCTAGACAG